TTGTCATAAATGTTTGTGGTAGGCTTGAGTTGATGAAATCGACACTAGTTGTAAACTGGTAAATTGGTCGTTTAAAGGCAAATTGGATGGTTCCGCCCACCCAATTGGACTCCCCGAGGGTATTAGAGATCATGGTAAACATTTTGGCAATTTTTATTTGCGGGCGAAAAAAGCCAAAATATTCCAAAATTAAAGGCTATATCCACGTTTTTTTAAAACTTTTGGAGTATTCGGGGCCCGGTGTTGAAAAGTATTGAAATTCTAGGGAATACATCTCGGTCGAGTCATTTCCAAGTCAGGTCATATTCGGGTTCAACTAATTATAAATAGATAATTATTATTTTTATCAAGCTAATTATTTGCTTTGACTATAATATATATGACAATATACTAGGGAACTATAGTCTATAATTTAGGAAGATAATTATCTCCTTTGACCATACAACAAATATATACTATATTTAACTCTTAAATTGGAGGATGATGCTCCTTTGTTTTGCTGGCCTGGATCGACTTGGTATTCCTAGACAAAATGCTTTGATCAACAATAATTAGGTGGTTTTAATTGCATTTAAGGTGATTTGAAATCGGGTTAGGAATAATTTGTGTTGAATTTAGGTCGGGTCAATAACAAGTCGTGTTGATTTTGAGTCGGGTTAGTAGCAGATCGGGTTGAATTTTTTGGTCGGGTAAGTAATAGGTCTGGTAAAATTGGGGTTGGGTCAATAACAAGTCGGGTTGAGTTTGGGTCAGGTTAATAACATGTCGGGTTGATTTCGAGTCGCGTTTGTAACATGTTGGGTTAAATTCGGGTTGGGTTAGGAACGAGTCAAGTTGAATTCAGGTCAGATTAGTAACAAATCGGATTAAATTTGGGTTTTGACGGGTTAAAACGGGTTTGGGTCAATTTCGGTTCCGGTCGAGTTCGGTTTAAGTAATAATTTACGGGTTACTTTCGGGTCGGGTCATCTCCAAGTCAGTTCATGTTCGAGTCCGGGTCTCACATACTCGGGTCTAGGGTTAGTTTCAGGTCGGGTTTGGCTCACCATTTTTTCGGATTCAGATGGTTCGGTTAATAATCGAATTTGAGTCGGTATTTTAGGTCGGGTCAACTTTTAACAACTCTAGTAATAATTACTGATTTTCTTAATTATCTACTTGTAAAAAGAAATAAAAATTGATTTTATCTTATTTTAAGCTATCATCTACTCATTTAGTAATAGTAGTGGTATTTCTTTCTTTCTTATTTGTAAAGTTTCAAACTACGGCCATAGTACATGTGGTACAAGGTACAGCCTCATTAAAATAGAAAATAAAAAACTTAATGATTAGTCATTAACCAAATCATGATTTGTTTCTAATTTTTAGTTTATTGAATTGTACTTTGTAGCATCCCTACCTTTTTCAATACAAGATTACAAGCTATCATATTTTATCGAACAAGTTTTGGCCTAGTAGTAAGAGTTTGGCTCTATAATTTGAAATTCATAGGAACAAATTTCATCAAGGTTTTTTTTGGTGGTTTAGATTTCCTTATCTTTATTTCCCCCCCCCCCCCCCCCCCCCCCCTTACATTCATCCTAGTCTATCTAACCTATAAAGACATATAGACTTGATTGTGTTTGTGAGAGGTGCTATTTTATTTAATATGATCCATGATCATTCACCTACACTTTTTTTTTTTTTTTTTTTTGAGGGACCTTAACTTAGAAATAAATAATATGAATCAAAACAAGTATTTTTCTGTCGAGGTTAAACTCACATTTTCCCAAATTTTTGGTACACCTTAATAGCCAGTTGAGCTAATAGCAGTGCAGTCCTTACCTTATTTTTAATTATTTTGAGTTTTTTTTTTTCAAATGTTAAGGCTAATAAAAGTCCATATATATAAAGTAAGTTACTTGAAAGACTAAACTTTTAATTTAGACCGAATAATAATTAAATTTGAATAAGTTTAGGGCTTGTTCTCTTACGTTGAAATTCAATTCAATTCAATTCAGTTCAGCACTTCAACTTAGTTCAGTTCAGTTTAGCTCAGTTCAGTTCAGTTCAGCTCAACTCCTAATTTCCTTCTCTTATAAAATATTCATTTCATTTCAGTTTAGTTCAGCTTAGTTTAGTTCAGCTCAATTCAGTTCAATTCAGTTCAACCGAGTTCAGTTAATGAGAACATGCCCTTAGTCCTGACTATTACTTTAAAAGCTTTACAAATCTAATTCAAAAGTGGACATAAAAAATTATTTGAAAATATAAAGTTCAATAATCCACAATTTCAATGAGCTTAGATGAATATAGGACCAGAAAACCAATAAACTTAGATAAATTAACATAAGTTCGGATAAGTAAAGGTCATGTAGAGTGATTACGGAGTATAATACACCCTAAGATCTTGACATTACAAATAATGAAAATTTTAAGGTGTAGGTGGTTGTACCTTATTTGGTACAGCCAAAAAATGCAAAAAGAACATGTAACTATTTTTTAAAGAATATACAGTAATTTTGTAAAGAATATATAGTTGTTTTGTAATGAACATCCAATTTTATATATTTTTTTCACATTCAAAAAACATCTGTAACATTAATAAATAAATTAATAAAAAAACATGAAAACATTATGTAATAAACATTATGTATATATAAATATAACCACCATAATTTGAAGACAAAATTCAATAAACATTTCACAATAACCAATGAGCACTATGTTGTAAATACATTACACTGACAATCAAACAACATAAACATATGTTCTTTTTATTTATTTTTTATGCAAATATTTTTTTTCACTCTAAGTATATGTCATTACATTTTTATAGTATGTTATTTTCACTCTAGGTATATGTTCATTATATTTTAATAGTTTATTCTTTTTACTATGCCTATATGTTCACTACTTTTATAATACGTATTATGTTATATTATTTCCTACCAAACGATTATACGTTCCACCGTACTGGTGTAAGAACCAACTATTGTACAAATAAACAAAGACAAAAGGTTAAGAAACATTAATTAAGTACTCCAAAAGAATTTAGTCAATAAACAAGTGTACCTAACTTTGGATTTTAGAGCCACCTCAGTAGCTCAGTAGTCCTCAGTCTCCTCACTATAGTTTCAACACTTTAAACATAACATACCGAAGAAGTAAATAGCAATCTTTGATCATAAAAAGCAATGCAAAAAATAAAGCTAAAAAAATAATCCAATCCAAAAAGAAATAACAATAATAATTTTTATGATAATAATAAAAAATCTTTAAGAGCAAACAAAGCCGTCATGATTCTGACAAATGTTAACAACCTTGCCTCAGCTGTAAGCAAAGGCAAACGTTTTCATTCGTTTGCACCCACATTTATTTTCCTCTTTAATTCTTTCCCACTATAACAAATTTTTAACTTTGCGTAAACTTTACCCCAAATTAGGGTATATTATATGAGTACAATAATACTACTAATAATCCCCGTTATCTGATTTTTATTTATATGAATTTGTGTGAAATTATTAGTCTTGATTAAAACTTATTTTAGTTGTAATTTGTACTTAGTTTACTCTTATCAAAATTTATTTTTTCTAAACTTATCTTATCTGAATTTATTAGACCTAAAAATTATTCGATTCTCCTCTTTAAATACAAAGAAATTTTAATAATGCAAAAATATATAGTACCGAATTATACCAATTTTGTATGTTTTTTCTTCTAAAATATGGCATGTATTGTGCATAAAAACAAAGCTCACATGATTTTCCACTCCCTTTTATTTTAAAGCAATTTCACGGAAATTTCATTGCATGAAACACTCACTCACTCTCACTTAAAAGTCTTTTAACTCTTAACTTCTTTGAAATTTAAAATTTTTAAAATTATAACCTAAAGGATTATTTTAAGTGCTATCAATCTATCATTGTATCATGTATGTCTTTATCATATAATACCAAATTTCAATATTTGACATGGTCTTTTTGGCGGCCATGATTTTCTAAATTCTATCTATATTTGTCTATTTCTTGACACGTTATAAATTTGTGACGTTTATTTAATATTATTTGTGTAGCTTAATAACTTGAAACAATTTGGAGTTTTAATATTTTGAAAGATGTTTCTTTTAGAAAATATTTTGGTTCAGTTACACAAATTTGAAATAAAAATGTCAACATCTATATGCCTCCCTTTGAACAGAAAATTTGGGAATTGCACATGGAAGTTTTGACATAACTTGTAAGCTTATCCTACTAATCCTTTCGGTTAGAATTGTCAATGTAGACGTTACACTTTCTATAAATCATAAAGGTCTATCACCCAGCCTTATGGGCGCGCCTACCTACACATATCGTGCACTCTCTCAACATTGATTTGAACATAGTGAAAGCCTGTTTTGATTTATTGAATTGAGCCGAACTGAATTAAACTGAATTGATTGGAACTTAACTGAACTGAATATTTTATGAGAAAAAGAAATTAAAAACTGAATTGAACATAAGCGGAAGAGAATAGACTCTAAGTAGGATTTGAATTTGTGACCTCAAAAGTTTAGCCGATAGTCTAAGCTATCATGGGACATATATCTTGGTTGAACCATTCATATTGGGGAGTGTATTGTATTACACTCTCAACTTGTATTCGTACAAATGTACTAGTGTCTCACTGTCTTGATTGTTATAGGACAAATATCTCATTTAATGAATAATTTTAAAAATTAAAAATAAAAATGAAAATAAAAAATCTAAGTAGATAAATCACATCATACATAATTGAAGAATGACACGTGGGGCATACCGCCCTTAGTGGGCACTCAAAGTCATAAATTAGCATGAGCACAATAATGTTGCACCACCACCACTAAATTTATTTCAAACTTCTACAAGGACTACACTATAATTTACTCCACTTCATATAACATAAAGTTTTAATTTTTGAAGTGACCAAATTCCTAAAGGCGCCTAAAATTACAAGTGAAAACATATCAATAAAACAATTCAAAAATGTTAAAATATAAAGTCTAAATAAAAGTATTTCATATATATATATAATAGGAGTAATACAAATACTCCACTTAAAAAGTTAGGTAAAAAAAAATTCAACCTCACTATAAATCAAATTAAACCTAAGAAACTAAAATTAAATATAGAAGTAAAACTAGTTTAATTGAAACTACAACAAATTTGATCAAACTAAGCAAAAATATTACTACTAAAAAAAAAAAAAAAAAAAAAAAAAAAAAAAAAAAAACTAAAATTTTAACTGCCCCCCTAAAATCTGTTACAACTAACCTGCCTACCAAGCCAACCACCTCCAAAATTGTACAAATTAAACCGGGTTAATATATAAACCAATTATCACGAACCCGGTTCATCATAATTCTCTCTCTAACTACTCAAAATCGTCTGAGCTAAACCGGTGATTGACTCGGTGGTTTCCTTTCTCTTCCTCATCTCTAACACCTTACGGTGGCTATTGGAATGAACCTCGCTCGAAAAAGTCGGGCTACAAGCCGGTCTATACTCCGGAAACAATCGCCCCGACTTGAACCTAACTCCACAAGCATTACACAATGTTTTCGGACCGTTTGGACCGGCCCTCCATTGGGGGGTTTTCGTAACTTGACAATGGCTACACCTTCTCTGAACCGGAGGATTTTCTCCGGCCGGTGAATTCACCATCGGTTTTTTCTTCGGTCTTTTCATGGGTGGCTTTCCGAAGTTGAAAAGCACACCCATGTCCTGAACCGTTGGTGGAAAAAACAGTGTTGAAACCGGTGATGATGTCGGTGAAGACGACGATGATGAATCGGTTTTTGAAGGTGAATTAAATACCCAACTCCGGTTCCCGGTTGACCTTGACCGTTTGCTCCTCGGCTTCACCGGAACCGCCGATGGGTTGGGGATGCACGAAATTCTATAAAACGCCGGTTTGCTCACCGGTTCAACCCGGTTCATGAAATTGAACCCGGTTTTGTTTTTCTGCGCGTCTAAAATTGGATTCGGACATGCAAGTGTTGGCTCAGGGACAGAATCGTCCATCAAATGTGACCATAATTCAAGCTCTTGCACATCATCCACCTATACACAAATTTCAATCATAATTAACACAGAATTTCAACTATAATTAAAAAACACAAATTAAATTACAAAAATTATAACTTTAAATTTCAATTTTACCCCCTAAAAAATAAAACATGTAATTCCAATTTCACCCCAAAAAGAATATAACTTGTAATTCCAATTTCACCCCAAAAACTTGTAATTCCAATTTCACCCCCAAAAAAAAAAAAAAAAAACTTGTAATTCAAACACCCAAAAAAAAAAAAAATTAGAAAGTGAATTTCAATTTTACCCCCGAAAATAATTTTTAGACAAAAATAAATTTTAGGACAAGGAAAATAATAGAGGGGTGAAATGACGAAAGTGCCCTTACCGGAATAGCAAGGTCCGGTGAAAAATTGGTTGAATTATCGTTGGAATCATCAACAGGGTCATGGGAGGAGAGAGAAAAAGAGGAAGAGTCTTTTTCTTCTTCCTCCTCCAAAAGCGACGACCCATCAATATTTTCTTCGTTTGGAAGGTCAAAAAATTCGTCAATTGAAAAATCGTCGCTTGGTAAACCTGCGACGCACCAAATATCGTCGAAAATACTTTGTTGGTTGCTCGTTTTCATGGCTAGTTCCGACGAAAAGCTCGATTTTAGCGCTCTGGCTTCCATGCACTCCATTTTTATACCACACAAATTTTTTGTAATTATACCCCTGAAAAATTAAACAAAAACCCACAAAATTAAACATAAAAATTAAACGTTTTTGTTGTCAATTCATTAATTAATTTAAATTATGACCCAAATTAAAGGGCGTTTCGTAAAATTAAATGTTCCCCAACATGTACATATTCAAAGAATAACAACATATATAATTACTTAATTAACTGAATTTATTTATATACCTTGTGAATGAATGAATGAAAATGAAAATTGTGGGTTGGAAGAAAGAAGAAGAGAGTTAGAAATAATTTTAGAGAGAAAGAAGAGAGAGAAAAAGAAGGTGGGTAGGAGTTGGGGAAAAAAGAAGAGGAGAAAGAACACTAAAAGAAAGGCTAATTCAAGGGCGGGATAGGTGGGTGAGTTAATGGTTTATCTTCAAAATTTTACAACTTTTTTTTTTTTCTCTCTCTAACTTTTTATATAATCCTTTTTTGGGGTTTTTTGATTTTTGAATTTTGGATTTCGTTCCTAAAATTAATAATTATGTTAATTTTATTTTAAATAAAATTGTTAGGTGTGTGTATGGAAATTTCTATCTATATTGACATTTTACCAAAAGTGTTCGACATTTTATTGATTTTTATTGCCTTATTTATGGGATGAGGTTGTCATGAAATTTGTATCTTACCTGATTTTACCTAATCGTGTGGTTTTATATGAGATGTAATAATAGTATAGGTAAAATTAGAGAAGATTCTATAGAATCAAAGTTATTAATTTTGTATATTGGATAAGATATTGTTAATAAAATTTAATAGGAAATAATTAATAAAATCAAAGGTATGAATGAAAAATAAAATATTAAAACAACAATTGTTAATTGTATCGGTTAACATATATTTTTCGTAATAAATTCTAAATTAACACATGCAATTAAAATTACATGTAATAACCATGAATATAATAACCTTTTCCGATTATAGAGGTTAAGAATGAGGCTAAAATGTAATTTCATGCAAAGATCAACAAGGGAATTTCATTGACCAATGTATAGTGGGGTAATTAAATTCAAATGTTTTATGGGAAATTCTATTTTCCAAATAATCTCAAATCCTAATTTCATCCAAATAAACTCTTATATTTTCTAAATTTCTAATTAACTATCATATTTGAAATATTATAGATTCTAAAGCTTGTGTAATAAAATAAAACATATTCATGAGAAATCTTGCGACTAGTCAAGATTTTTATTTCCTATAATTTTATAATTTTGTTTTTTTTTTTAAAATACAATCCTATACGTTGTATTTATCATAATTTTACTTATTTAAATTTATCCAAACCTAAGTACTTAACTGAACGTGTGTTCTATTCATCATATTTTTACTTATTTAAATTTATGTAAAATTAACTGAACGTATTTTTTATAAATAAAAAAAAATAAAAAAAAATAAAAAAAAAACTAGACGTATATGAACTTAAAATGTGTTCTATACAGAATATCAGTTAGGATTGGTGGGTGCCTAGCGGAAGCAAATTAAAGATATATAGATTGCTGAAATAATTATGGTTAATATAAACAAAAGTAGTAAATTAATGGACTTTTAACGTGGGAAAAAATTTCAAAAAAAAAAACACGAATGATGAGCATGATATGTATAAAGGGACATTCATATAGTGTATGATAGTATTGGTCTATTGGAAGATATGTAAGATGGATACATACTTTAAGAATGATGCTCAGCGCCACTATATATAGGTGATGTATCAACGTGAAAAAAGTGCGTGGAAGATTCCACACACATACTCTTTAAATTACCACATAAATCCATAATCTTCATGACAATTCACCAATTTTAAATTCTTCCACAAATCTCCATCAATTTCTCAATATGATAGAACTTCCTAGAATTTTTTACCTTGAGACATAATTAATTGGGCTTATGGAATTTGGGTCACACTAACCCAACAATATCTTCTAGGACATTATTAAGCTCAGGAAAAATAAATTAAATGGTAGCTTTCAAAAGACGATTAACTAGAACATGACGATCTGACTCTAAAATCACTTTGTTGAAACCCTGTCTTTTGCGCCAATTAGATTGTCGTAAGAAGAGCTCTACCTTATGCCACCTCCACTGGTCAGTATGCCTTGACTAGTTGTCTCCACGTACGTAGGGCTGTGCACCGGTCCAAAACCGGATCGGACCGAGACCAAAATCGATTTTTTTTGGGGACCGGGACCGGACCGTATTCAACCAGTCCTGGTTCCGGTCCAGACCTGTTTATTCCGGTCCGGTTTTGGACCGGAATGGACCGGTTACATTATTTTTTTATTTTTCTTTTTATTTTAGTATTTTAATATATATATACATACATTTTTAACGTCTTGTTTTTTTTGTTTGCGTGCTTTCCTATTTTGTACCTAGAATTTATAAATTACAAGTTTTGTACTAAATTTTTTAGAAATTTAAACATAAAATTTAAAACTTTCACCCAAAAATTTACATAAATACACTTTCCGATCAGACCGGAATATTCGGATTCTTACCCGGACCGGAAACCTGGAATCCCCAATTTGTGAGGACCGAAGACCGGACCGGAATCAACCGGGCCGGTCCAATTTCGATCCGGTCCCGGTCGGGTTTCCAGTCTAGGTCCAAATCTGCACACCCCTACACGTATACACATAAGTAAACAACACCTAACCCCCTACTGTCGTGAGCAATCACCCCTATTCCAATCCAGCCTTCTTGCGCTAAGTAAGCGTTAGCATTCAACTTCACAAGGTTTGGGGGTGGGGCAACCCATTTCGAAGGGTTGCTGTACCTCTTGACCCGAACATAATTGTAAATTTTCTTGCTGTATTTTCCATGCTCTTCCACCAATCTTTCGACCCTTGCTAGCAAAATATTTTTAGGAGTACCTTTTCCCTCAAGCACCCACTCATTCCTATCTGCCCAAATCACCCAAGATAAAAGAGAATTAACTAACCTTATCTGAACTTAAGGCGTGTTATATTCATTTGATTTTCACTTTTCTAAACTTAACAATACTTATTTTAGTTGTAATTTGTATTAGAGTAGCTTTTATCAAAACTTATTTTTTCTTAACTGAACTTATCGTTAGTTAAGTTTGGATAAATGAAAATCATGTGAACATAATACACTATACTCAAATTAAAATTAAGAGTTCGAATCCTATCAAGTGGGGATGTTTAGGCCTTATTAAATTTAGAGTTAGAGTGAGATAGGATTCAAACTCTAAATTTTATCTGAACTTATTAAAAATTTAGTTGTAATTTGTACTCGAATAATCCTTATTAGAATTCATTTTTCCTAAAATAAAATTATCTAAACTTATTACACCTAATATAAGTGAAAATAAGGTAAATAAACACAAACCCTTACAAAAATTACCAAATACGCCTAAGCAAATTGAGTAATAGTGTTATATGGAATAGCTACACTTTATCATGCCATCACAATTTTTTTAAAAAAACTGGGTGTACAATAATTATTGTACATCTATTATAAAGATTGTGTAAAGTGATTAAAAGTTACTCATAACATGCATAAAAAGTAATTCAATACAAATTAAAATTAGCTACGGTTTATTAATAAAGATCACATTTTAAATGATTAAAAATCAATTATTAGTTATTGAATGTAATTAAATTACCTTTATAAAACTTTTTTTGTTATCTATTTAAATAAAAATTGTTTTAAAGTCACACACAAAAAAAAAGTTACTCTAAAATTAGCTAAACATTACCCTTATACTGCTCGATGTACACTATATTAGTATAAAGCAAAATTATACAAAAAAAAATAAAAAAAAATCATGCGATACACGTTGTTTGGGTCCAATTTAGTCCAATTGGGCCTAGTCACTAAATGATCCAATTAAAAGCCCAAGGTCAAGGTTCAACTCTCCAATTGTGCTAAAGTCAAGATCAGTCCACAGAGCAAGTCAATTGGGCCAAGGCCCACTTCTCCCATATATGCAAAGGTATAAAGGCCATCAATATCACATTTGTACATTCATTCACACAAAGCCTCAAGCAATTAATTCTCTTGCATAGCTTTCTCTCTCTACACATTGTACTGACTTTAGCATCGGAGGGGCCTTCCTCGACAACACCCCCGAGGCTAGTTTACGTGTGTTTGCTGTGCAGGAAACCCTCGGCCCAACATCACTTAGACCGAGCCCAGTCTTCACCACTTCTCTGGACCTTCAGCAAGGTCCTATTGTTTTCACTCGAAACAATTTGGCGCCGTCTGTGGGGAAGACTTTCAAAAAAAATCTTTAAGCCAATTTCATTAGTTCTACATCCATCTTAGTTCCAATGGCTAAGAATCGCAAGAACAAGAGCAACAGTGCTTCTCCTCCGAGAAAACGCCGAAAATCACTAGGAGGGGGTCCCTTAGAACGCTCTACTCCTAGTCCATCTCCTCCTCGGGATCGGAGCCCTTCCGCGGGACCCGACTCTCATGGAGAGCCTAGGGAGAGATCCGAATCTCCTTTAATTCAGTCCAACCATCCGCCGAGTCCACCTCGGTCGAATGAGGATAGCAGGTCCACTCAGAGGACCCAATCCCATGCTCGGAGTCAATCTCGGAGCATTCACACCCACTCTCGCTCTCAGCCGAGGACACCCCTGACGGGGCCCAACTCGGAGGAAGTAGTGAGAGCCTTAGCGGTCCTCATGGAGTCCATGAAGGCCCAAAATATGTTGCCCCCGCGCGACCGAACCCCTCCGCAAACCAGGAATCAGCGGAGGAACCTCGGCCAAGATGGGGGGAAACCCTCATCTTTTAAGGAGCTCGGCGAATGGGAGGAAGACACCTGGAGAACCGAGAGGGAGAGAAACAGGAACTCTCACTTCTTCAGGGAACCTTCCACTCAGCTCACCACGAGTAGAGCCCACAAAAGCAGCAGTTCTGCCTCTCGGCCAGAAATTGTCCGCTGAAGCGTTCATGACCGTCTCGGCGACAGGGAACGGAGCGTGCACAGCCGCCTCTCTTACCCTGCAGCCGAGGCCCAGACCTCCCAGCCAGGGACGAAAACAACTTCTACCTCTCTGAGAGGGCGGAGTGCGGTCCCTTCGGCTGGGAATAAGGGAAAGGCCGTGATGCTGCCTTCCAGTTCCCCATTCGTGCAGTGGATACTGGAAGCCCATGTGCCGACGGTTAAAATCCCGTCGCACATTACTTATGATGGAACTTCGGATCCGAAGGACCATATTGCCTCGTACGAGGCTCATATGCATCTTTGCCCCAGGTCCGAGGCGACTTGGTGCAAATATTTTCCAACCACTCTCAAGGGGGTCGCGCAAGCGTGGATCTCCAAGGGAGTGAAAGAAGGCTCAATCACCGGGTGGGACGATCTGTCCTCCAAGTTTAAGAGCAAGTTTTCCACGACAAACCGCCGAGAGAAGACTACTGCAGAGCTTATGGGTCTGCAGCAAGGGGAGGCTGAAAGCCTCCGAGACTATCTGACTCGCTTCAGCAACGAGTCGTCCAGCATTTCTC